ATTCGTCATCCGAAACTCGCGGTGTCGCTGGTGTTGGCATTGCGCTAAGTGCCAAGGCTGAGCGCTCGCTTCTTGACTGGATTCAATTCAGTAGCTGACCGCGCGCTGTACGTCTCAACGGTTCAGCACGGATCAACAGCTACAGAACAAAGCGTCGATGTTTGTGAGTCATATCCTTTGCAGTACACCTGAAATCAAAGATCAGTTCTACAAAGAGCTTTCTCAATTACTCCAAAGTGTTTGATCAACGGACATCGTAGTAGTCGCTGGGGACTTCAATGCTCAAGTGGGATACTTGGACGGATCAGAAAAGTTTCTGGGAGGACCGCATGCAATCCCGGCCATCCGGTCGAACAACGGAGACTGCCTACTTCAACTCTGCGCGGACCATGGACTGTTCCTGTGAAGCACGAACTTCTTGCACAAGAAACGACATCGACTTACATGGAAACCGTCAACCGCTTCACAGCGCTGGACCCAAATCGACCACATCGTCACCAGTTACCGCTGGAGGGAATCGATTAAGGACTGCCTCTCTTACTGATCAACACCTGTGGATACAGACCACGCCTTGTTACGAGCCAAATTCTACTTACGCCCGGCAAACAACCGCAAGAAAGCCACCGATAACGGATACCCACGATACTTTGTCATCGATTGTTACAAATCGGCCTTCGAAGTGGAGCTCTCCGATCGCCTGTCTGTTCAACCACCAGCCGAAGGACTCAATGAGCATTGGAAGCAAATCAAGGAAGCTATGCAAATATAGATAAAAATAACGTCGGACCCTGGCGCAGGCTCAAAACACGAACGATGGATCTCGTCGATCTCGGCTGCCTTGTTGTTTGCCGCAGAACCCATCCTCCCGATGCCACTTTTGACACAGCGCGCAAATCCCCCAAACCCCAGCTCATCAAGAGTGAGGAATGACTGCGAGAAGTGATGGCGGCTATTGGTAATAGTCGCAACATTTTCCGTCTAATTAGAAATACGGGCCCCAGGAAAATATGCATAAATGTGGTAATTAAAGAATCCGATGGCACACTGATTCACGATCAGCAATGCCTTCTTGATCGATGGGCTGAACATTTCGAGGCTCAGTTCAACTGTCCCCCATCGACATCTGACCTATCACCCCCACCTCGACTGGGCAAATACTCCCAGTTGATGCTAGTCTTTCATCTGAAACGGAGGTCTCTCGGGAAACAAGTTATCTCAAAAGATATAAGGTCTCTGGCTCAGAGGGGCTGTTCCCGTCGGCGTTTAAGGATGGAGGCTCAGCTTTAGTCTTGGAGTTGACGAAATTCCTGGGCTCAATCAGTCAGTCAGTTTTACAACCATTAACCATGCACTTTCGTGCGCGGGTTTTGGTTGCCCATTTGGATAAAATAGCGAAATGAAGATTGGAATGTCGAAGCAAATTCAAGCGGAAGATGGGTAATACATATAGAGTGAGATGGGGAATACATATAGAGTGTGTTAGGAAAATAACGAGTGGGTGTACGAGCGCCACTATTTGCGACACCCAGCCATATCCTGGGCTCAATATGGGAAGGGGAAGACTTGCGAGCTGAATGGTGGGAATCGGTGATCATATCGATTTACAAGAAAGGCGACAAATTCTCCTGTGAAAACCACAGAGGAATTAGTTTATTCAACATCTCGAAACTTCTCGCTGATATTCTACTCCGTCGATTGTCTGTCGCTGGTGAAGAGTGCACGCGTGAGAACCAGGCTGGTTTTAGACCTGGTCGAGGTTGTATCAACCACATCATCACTCTCCGCCAAATTCTGGATCATCTTTTCGTAGACCCGCCATCTCTGTTTTTCTCGATTTTAAAGCAACTTCCATTCAGTCGTCTGCTCCAAACTCTGGCGCTGCCTTTCTCTGAAAGGTGTGCGCGGGAAATTTTTCATTTGAATATTACGATTATACTAGTAGCCGAGTCCGGGCTTACGGCACTTTTTCACCCGATTTCACCGCGAAAAGCGGTGTTTATCAGTGTTGTCCTCTCTCTCCTTTTTATTTAACTTTGTTATAGATTTTATAATGGGAATAGCCCTATCCTCGTGCGAGAATAGCGGCATCGATTTACTTCCAAGTGGCAGGGTGGTGGTGGCGCAGTGGTTTAGTGGCTGTCACCGACGTGCTTTGGACCCTATGGTCCGAGTTTCGAGCCCCACCACCGCCACCCGACTTTGTAGTAGGCAGCTCTGCTGTCGTCCAATTCAATACCACGCCTAACCTAGCGGGGTCTTATGTGGTACGCCACACCAAGTTCCGGGTCACCGGTTTCCACCAGTGAACAGCAGGCCCTTGTGACTGTGCGATTCGCCCCCTCTACTGTTCATCACACTTAGGTGTGTAATAAAAATGACTGTCTGATCTGAAATATGCAGACGACATTGCACTACTACTCGAAGATGCAGGTAAGTTGTAAGCTTTTCTGGATAGCTTGAGCGCCAGCGCAGCCATGTTCGGTATGTGGTTTGCACCTTCAAAGTGTAAAATGTTATCTGGGCAGCTACATCTCACCCGGTGGACGCATCACGGATAAAGTGTCAGCTCGCATACAGAAGGCGCGATTGGCATTTGTCAAACTGAGACATCCGTGGCACCGCCGCGACATCCGGTTGTCTGTGAAGGGTCCACGGTCTGTTGCAACAGTTCAGTCAGCCCTGCTATACGGTGCAGAAACTTGGCCATTAGACAGCAGAATAACAACAGACTGTCGGTGTTTGTGCACCGCTGTCTACGCAGCATTGTACGAATCTGGTGGAGCAGCCGGACGAGCAATGCTGACGTCAGGCGCAGAGTTTTAGGTAACAGCGGTAGCCCACTGGAGCAAGTGATCGATCTCCATAGATTACGCTGTTCGGTGCATCTGTTAGGCATGTCATCAAATAGGTGGCCACGGCGCGTGATGTTTGCCGAAGCAGGTAGTGGGTGGACAAAAGCCAAAGGTGGTCAAGCTAAGACACGAGGGTGCGAAATCCCTAACCAGGGTACTGGGTCACATAGATACCTTTAGGCTCCCTGGTTGAGGACCTCGGGATGAAATGTAGGCATCATGCCTGCAGATGTTATTGCAATACAATACAATGCAATACAATCGTAGCCAATGGTTATAGATATTGAGTGATACGGCTGAGTGTCGTAAACAGTGGCGTTCGTGCATCTCAATTTTTTTACAACCCTGGACTAGTGAAGTCCTTCGTTTTCTGTTCGACTCTACTTTCAACCTTCCTGTCTTTTCCTATTGTTCATCCAAATGGGCAGCCAAAAGACAGCAACCAAAACCGGCGCATGGTTAATGGTTGTACAAAGTGAAACTGCATTTTTTGCTCAGTTCCCTGAATAGGTTCGCCTGCGGTGCTGCGTGACAGTGGTTCCGATGTCTGCCTCTTTCCTGCTGCGACACGGATTGGACGAAATAGCTTTCCAAAGTCCACTGCAACGGTTTCAGCCTCCATGCTGTCTGCAATCGCCTCCTAGTATTGTTTACGGTCCTTCTTGGCGGAGCGTGTGGCTTCGCGACGGAGAATAGGAACTTCAGGAGAATTAATCAGCTGCACATCTCTTACCTTTGCAGACAACTGCAGTGTAAGCTCGGAGGTCCTGTCTCTCTTGTGGCGAAGAATCTCACCTAACTGTCCTAGCGCCGCTTCTCTGATGGGCGTTTTCAGCGTAGACCACTGCGCGACGACAGTTGAGTCATCGGAGAAAGTTTCGGCTATGTTGGAAGCGGTCGCGTCCAGCAGCGCCTGCCTTCTCTCAGGTCGTCGCGAGAGCGCGATGTTGAATTTACCCGGGAGACGAGTCTTCCGACTAGGAGTTAGGTGGATCTTGAAACCGGCGCGTACAAGGGTATGATCCGTGCCGTTACAGTCTCCGCACCGCCATAGGAACGGTAGTTTTTCACTAAAGAAGTCCAGCAAGCACGTACCAAAATATAATCAATCTGGTATGCCGTTCGACCATCATTTGAGTACCACATAAGTAGGTGTTTTCTGGGGTGCTGAAAACGATTGTTGCCCACGACCAACCGGTCAGCAGATGTGACTAGGCGCCCGCCATTTTCGCAGCGTTGACCAAGGCCGAACTTTCCCAGAACACGCCGAGTATGTTCGTCTGATGGGCCAATGCATGCATTCCAGTCTCTTGCGATAAAGAGAATGTAGCGTATTAGATTGCAGTTCACTGCATCTTGAACTTAATTGTAGAAGTCGTCTTTGATGGGCACTTCTGCATGTAGCATTGGACCATATACAGCGATGACAGTCAGGTTAAATGGCTTACCTCTGAAGTGCTAAATGGTAATCCTGGGAGATCATGTTATTGTTGGCCCGGCCGCTCACGGCGATTGCTACTCCGTGCAAGCTGAAGTTTTCAGTTGGACTGCTGTGGTATAACCGGTAGGTTGCGTCGCTATGTGGTACGTTGATTAGTTTTGTGCCACAGTTAGGTAGTCGGACTTCGGACAGACAACAGATGTCTACTTTATAGTTGTGCAGTGAACGCATTGTGACGCAGTGTCCCAACATTCCAGCAGGCTACATGGATGCTGGATCCGGTGTTCAGGTGATTTAGGCTCCCAGCTTGCTCATTTGTCACCCCAGCCACTGGGAGAGCCCAAGGTGCATCGTTTCCCGGGAACGCCGTAGCTTGAACGCGATGTACCATTGTAAGACGCTTCATGAAGAAACTTGGGAATGAGGTACTAAGTGACGTCCTCAGCGTAGCTTGGATTTTGTTCGAGGGTTTACCTCTAACCCTTGCACAAACAAGTGCGATCTGCTGGGTAACAAGGTAGAATTGTCGGTAGCCGATGACCGTCAGAACGGTTCACACCCCTTTCGGATTGCTCAGCGCCAGTTCAAGATCCCAACGTGTCCGTGAGGTGTGAGGCTCGATAGCACTCTAAAGTTTGTTCTGCCCGGACGAGTAGGCAAGTGGCAATGGCCTTAATTGTTGGCGGGCCACATTTGCACACGTCGCGATGCTGTCAGCAGGCACTTATGGCATTTATCAGGGATATCGGTTGGCAACCGGAAATCCCACCACGTCCTCTAGCATCGCTGCTGATCGTCTGCGGTCGATTATTCAGTGGGGTGCCCCCGCCTATTCACGACTAACCGCTAAGGTGGCGGTTCTCCTAACGGTGAACAGGAGACGAGCTCGGTAGCACTCAGCTATGCTATCCCTAGACAGTTTATTGATACGGGCCTCCTCGCCTCCTCTCGGTTTGCAATCAGGGTTTTTGGTCAACTCCACTAGGTGAACTACCAGTTGTCCACTAAACCGGTTAGTACCCCAAAAGTCGGCTATTCGTTCTCTCTCTCTTTGTTGGAAATGCACCGCCACGATAAAGGAGTGATTATGGCTTCTTCAGGCCATTTGAGGCGCTTTGTCGTCCGAGTGCTTCACTTAAGCAAGTGTTTGTTACGAATTGCTTTATGCATCCCAGTGGATGGGTTTTCAGCTCAGTGCACACCAAGTTCATTTATCATCGCATAGTCACACAGAAGAAGTAAAATATATGGTAAATTTAAAAGAGGAAGGTAGCGTGATAATATGCAGATGGATGCCATTTACCTAATGTTTGTAAAAGCTTGTCTGACAGATACTGTCTGTGCCAGAAATTTACAAAGATATGAGATGACAGATAAACGGTAGGCAATGGTCCGAGTATACTCAAGTTTGTAATGACATCTGGTTACGGAAATGAATGCATATTATTTAAAGTCCTTGTGTAATGGATGAGTAGTGTTTGATGGATTATTGTTGCAGAATTTTTCGCAGAGGTAAAACTTGATGACAACAAAGTTGAGCAAGTTGACTGGGGAATATCACTTTTGCGTGCATTAATGACCGGCGTAAAATTGCATAATCTGTAACTCAGATCGGCAGCTAAAACAGGAGAGCGGTAAAGAAGTTGAGTGACCACACAGGAATATACAAAGCCGGTGAGTAAATGTGGTGGGCAACGTGAAATAAGGAACCAATTTTGAAAGTGCAGTTGAATTATCAAGTCCACGTGAGATCTGGCAGATAGTATCGTAGTATTGGCGGATATGTACGGATATGTAACGTATTGGAAGAAAATTCTGGTTGCCAGCATAGAGTACAGATCAATTTATTTCAAACCAGTGTAATCGTTAGTGCGAAGGTTACATTCCTACATTTGGAGATGCTATTAGATGAATAGAAATAACAAGACTATGCAACTAAAGCAGATAAAATGACTTGAAGCTCTTAGGAAACTAAATCACTTTGGAATTTGGAACCAGTGGTGACATAATCAGCACAAATACTTGGTAAGAAAATCGTTGGACTCGGTGGTTCGATCTCAAATATTGAAGGGGCATAGACAGGAGGACAGTATTGCTTCTAGGAGCATCATCACCATAATCGTACAGCGAGATACAGTGAATCGAACTTCACTGATCGCTGCCAGACTCGCAATGGATACAAGGTTAGTGGTAAAATTCAAGGTGGACAGGGATCGGACCTATTTTGAGGGAGGGGGAAGAAGGCGAACCCCTATGGTCAACACACAGTACGCAATCGAACTCTGCAAACATACCGTATCAAGCATTCTGACCTGATAAGAAATGACAACAAGAAGGCCACTGCTGTCGGTTCGCTGCCATATCCTTCAATGTCTCCAACCAACCGGTTGTGGAGTCTTTCGGACCTCAACCTGGAAGGCGAGAGACACCTACTCTAATGGCTCTGGGCATTTCTTCGTGCCTCGTCTCCACGTCATCTGTCGACCTCCACGTGGTTTCCTCCGGCAAGGAGCTGCGACAGCGAATAAAACGCGGTGCGGCAGACGACGGCTGGGCACACGCAATACGTGCCCTAGCCAGTGAAGTCTGCTAATCTGAGTTCGGTGTGCCAGTAGGTTTATACCTGATAGTCTCCCAAACACACGAGGGCTTACCTCCACGTTAATAACCCGTCCGCTCCATCCCACACGGGCCAAACTACGTAAACGCCGATAATCGAAAACTTCAAGTTGACGGATATCTTCTACTCGCATAATCAAGGTCTCGCAACCATAAAGCAGCACTGAACGAACGCTAGCACAATATACACGACCTATCAACTTCAGTGAAACATCGCGTCTACACCAAAGGTGTTTCAGTCCTTCACTGCATCACTGGACAGCAGGTATTGGTCACAATGGGGTTTCACTCTGTCTGCTGTTCATCATACAATTTTGTAATAATAATAAAATATAAAGATTGGGATGTTTGAGCAGTGGCCCACTTATTACTACCCACGCTGCTCGATGCAATGGACAGCGCGGTCCCGATTATCATGTCATAGTCAATGGTAAATTGCTGGGAAGAGGTGCTGGTGCGACAGGCCATTTTAATTACTTTGAGACATTCTAGATTCAGCTCGTCAATCATCTTGAGGTTTCCCACAGATGTACCGTCGGCTTCACTGATCGGCTCGGCTTTACTTTGTATCCGACCAGAGTTGAGGAGTTTAGGAACGTGCGAGGAGATTCAACGGATGAATCCACAACTCTCAAGAGCGGTTTTGTGGCGTCTTTTTTATTTCTGACCGGTGGCATACTGTCACTCGGGGGTTTAAAAGAGAAACTCTGACCAATATCAAACAGTGATGCTTGGTTAGCATCCCTCGTTTAGGCTACTGGCCACTGTCCATGCATATGTTGTTCTTTGTCGGTCGTCCATCAAACGCGTTTGCAACCTTGGAACAGACTGATGCTTGGCAGGTATCAACACTGTTGTTCCAGTAGGACCCACAGTCCAGGGTTTTTCCTCTCCAGCGGTGACTCATTGCAGTGTGACCAGTTAGGGTTCAATACCCGTTCATTCAGACGTCGCAGTGTGACCGAGGCTAGCACTCTGGTGACGATCGAGATCAAACTTATCCCGCGGTGATTTTCGCAATCATTGCAGGATACTTTCTTAAAAATGGAAACGATTAGTTATTCGTGCCGAGATTAAGGAATGTGCTCTTGCGTCCAAATGTTGCGCAGTAAGGTGGTAATACAGTTTACGAAGTGATCACCCCCCCCCCACCCCCCACTCTTGATAAGAGTGAGAGGGAACTCATCCGGTTCTACTGTTTTCCCTCGCTTCGGGGCTTGAATGTAACACCGAACTTCTGCTTTTGTTGGAGGAGCTTCAGTTGCAGATGAAGCAGCCTGGTTAGCACTAGGTTAGCTGAACTGTTCGATGAAGCATTCCGCCCAGCGATCAAGTCGTTTATCCTTATTGTGAATAGCTCGTCCCCTCGTATCGCAGACTGTTTCCCTAACTGCAGTTCGCCGATCTCCCGTATTGCTTATCAGTCGGAAAAGTCTTTGACTATTCCCTGATGCAGCTGCTACTTCCATTTCACTAGCTATTGTTGCCCACCAGTTCTCACGGTCCTTCTTGAGGCTCTTCGTGAGCTGACTTTGTAGATGGCACCCAACTCTATTTTGATCCTGCCATGTCGGGATTTGTCGTTTTTTCTTCATCAAGAATACTGACTCCTGAGATATCTCATGCCTCCGACGGTCTTGAGGCTCAGATCCGCAAGCAACATTCGCTACGGAATGCATTTCTTGGCTAATCTGTTCCGGTTGTTCATCTGCAGTACCACGCTGGCGCGCTCACGCACTAGCTCTAACTCATCCCTTGCACAAACTGCTGGACAGACCTGTAATGACAATCAATCGGAGTTTGCTGCTTTTTCGCTGTCCAGTGAGCCGGAAAGTAAACTATATTAAAACCAATATGCGCTCACACTCAGCGCAGGTGGCCCCGCTAGATCAGGCGTAATATAGAACCTGGCAACAGCAATGCTGTCTACAACCAAGGTTGGGTGGTGCTGGTGGGGTTCGAACCTCAGACCATAAGGTAGGAAGCACGCCGGCGACTGCGACTAAACCACCGCACCATCACCACCATTGCAAGCGTTATGGCTTGCATGCCCTCGTGATCCCGTAAGCTAAGCAGAATGGCTTCTCAGTCGCAGATTCGGTCATACCTATAAGTTCAATGGGTAAAGGCCAGGAAAAGCTTATTAGGCACCTCATGGCTTCCTTTGGCTACCCACCTTCGCCCCCGGATAGGTCCCTGTAGTAAATAAACACCGGGAGGAGCAGTTTAATGATAGAAAAAAGCAGCTTGGTGGACGTTGGTTGCGGAGTACCTGGGGTTTCCTCTCGACAGTGAGAGAGGTCTTCACACTTCACTGGGCAGGTACCGTCCACCCAAGCTGGGCAGACCCCAGTCAATAGTGCTGTTCGATCCATATTCCGCCTCTCATTGGGTGCATGAGGCTAAGAGCCGACTCCGAAAAGCGGGACATCAATCAACAGCAATCAATCAGCGAATAACACTAAGAACAAACTCAAATGCCTTGCGTGATAGGTATCTAGAAGCACCCACATAGGTGCTTCGGTTACACTCTCGCGTTGAATCTGTTTCTGTCTTTTGGTTAAGACCGTTGATTTTTCTCTTCATCGGTGGTGCTGGCTCGTGAGATGTTCGATGCCTCGGACAGGCTAGAGGCTCAGACCCACAAACAACATTCGCTGCATTCTGGACTGGTTCTGTCCTGCTGCTCACTCACACCGTCAGCTTGAGGGTCGCTTAGGTCATGCACCAGCTTTGACTCCGCGTGCACGTTCTACCGGGACTGACCGGCAACGATGAGCTAACCGAGTTTAATGGTTTTTTCAGCGATTATTAAGTTGGAGATTGAATTACTTGTAATTCAAGGCCTAGTTACATTCAATACAGATAGTCCAATTAAACCTGCTTTTTTGTGCCGAGCCGTGCTAAGGGTAGCTTACTGATATGCGATCAATTTACTCAGCGTTCAGTTCAGTTCAGTACAACCAATAAACATGCACTATCGTGCGCCGATTTTAGTTGCTGTCTTTTGATTGCCCGTTTGGATGAACATTAGGAGAAACACGGGAAAGGTTGAAAGTACGACCAGAGAAAATTTGGAATTTCAGTGGACTAATGTCAAAAAGAAGAAACTGACAAGATGCACGAAAGAGACCGTTTACGACACGCAGTCATATCACTCAGTGTCTCCAACCATCAGTTACGATCAACCCGAGGTCCCCATCCAGGGAGCCTAACGGGACCTCATCATCATCATCATCATCATCATCATCATCGTACAGCGAAATACAGTGAGGCGAACATTCGGGTTGGAACTTCAAACCCTTACCCCTGAGCTACACGGTGGACAGTCATCACCTTGTGCGAATGGCTCAATCAATTTTACAGTAGCAAGCTTAGATTAACCCATTCGATTGTTAAAAGGCATCAGGCACTCTTGGGACAGAGACACAAAAAGTACGCACTGCTGACGAGTCCCAAAACAGGACAAAACAGCTGCCCAGTGCCCTTTGTCGGTTATCACAAACATTTCCATTACATGTAAATGCATGAAGTAGTGGGGGAATTAACGATCTCTCAAGGAGTGAAACCCACACCCAAGAGTGCCTGGTGCCTCAACAATCGAATGGGCTAATCCAAGCTTGCTACTGTAAAACAGTGAGGCGAACTGCACTGATCGCTGCCAGACTCGCAATGGATACAAGGTTAGTGGTAAAATTCAAGGTGGACAGGGATCGGACCTATTTTGAGGGAGGGGGAAGAAGGCGAACCCCTATGGTCAACACACAGTACGCAATCGAACTCTGCAAACATACCGTATCAAGCAT